GCACTAGAATTTACTGTTTTGGCTCCAATCTGGACCACCAGCCTGGCTAATCCTTTTTTGGTTCCAATTTTTTTCATTTATAATCATTCTTCCCATGTTCCATTCTTTCTTTCTCTCAGCACTCTCACTCCCCCAAAATGAATATCAAAGCTTTTGAAAAAAATCGAGTTTATTTTTTATTTTTCACAAATTTTCAAACTTTATTTTTTGCTTTTATTATTTCATATTCATTTTTTGGGACCTATTATGCACCACCTGACCCAGTCTCATGATTTAAAATTTGTGTTTTGGAGCTCTGGAATCCAAAATAAGCAGCCACTTTTCACTGTCTAGGCACTGTACAATGATTGATCAGTTATCTGCCTTTTGGCATATATCTATACCTACACAAGTACAGCGGCACAGCCGCCCTGATCTCTAGTGATAAAAATTAAGCCGGTAAAAATCAATTAAAAAACATTAAAAAAAACCTGTCCAATGCAATATTCAATAAATAAATTTGGTTTTTATGTAAAATGATTTTACCATCATTTTAAACATGTCTCAAAGTGTGGGAAATAAATTTAAAATGTAAAACAATATTGAGAAATAACATGTAAAGAATTAATTGAAAAAAGTTTCTAATTGCAGTATTAAAAATGAACCGTTGATTTTTATGGAAATTGGAGTGTACCATAGAAACCTGCACATTTTAAAATGTAGGAAAAAACCTTAAAATTTCAAAAAAACATAAAAAATAAGGTAAAAAAAATTAATGCAAAAAACACGGCATACACAGAATCCACGTGTACAAAAATTAAAAGGCAAAGAAATCATTTTTATGCAAAGTAAATATTAACAAGTTTAACATTAAGCGACAAACCCTTAGAAACTACAGGTATCACGGATTGTGATGGCACTTGAGACATTAATTCTTGTGTTAACCCTGTGTTATTGTTTTTCCTATATCTTTCCCATCCTCTTATGTACCTTTTATCTCTTTTGTTTTCAAGATACATCATCCAATTTTGTTCTAAAAACTCATCCTTTGTCAACTGGTTTCTCTTTGTACTTCACAATTGTTTTCCCTCTTGCCCAATCTGATTCTCCTAATTTTTTCCTCTTCTGTATCTCTCTTTTCTCCTTGAAACATTAACTGAACCTACCATATGAAGTCACTTTCTCCCCCATTTTTTCATTTTCTACGTTCCTTATGCCAAGCGCTACTCTGCACCACCTCGCTTTTTGCTCATGTACCTATGAATATAACATATTCCTCATTTCTATGTACCTCTGAATTTAGCATCCTCTTCATTGCCTCTCACAACCCCCTGCCTGGTACTCTGCTTGACTAAGTGTGGGTAACACTTGGAAAGGGGAGTTTTTGATATTAAGAAAAGAAGAAATAAAAACTGTTAAGTTTTTATAAAGGGAGGGGCCTGAGTTACAGGGGTTTTTATGGTGCCCTCCAATGAATCAGGACCTGTTTAAACAGGGGTATTTTTGATGTACCTGATGATCTGGTCCTTTGTGTAAAGGAGTATGCCCAGACAAAATGCCTACAACTGAAGTATCAAGGAAATATTACCTACTTAGTACTATTTCCAAGCCAAGGGGACTTCAGGTGGGTGAAAACTGGTCTGGGAGCGCTCAGAAAACTGGGTAAAAGGTGTTGGGAGAGTGCTGGGGAACAGTTGATGGTTGGGTTGGTGATATCCAAGACAGAAACAGCAGGAACTGGGCCAAAAACAGGGGAAAAACTGGTTGTTAGAGGTGGTTATTGCTGGTAAGTGGTAATGAAGATGGGGAATCAGAGTTTGGGGGCAATGGGCTCCTTATATACTCATTCTGGGTCATTGGAGGCGAACTCAGAACTCTGTTTGGCTGGTGCAAGCCTCCTACTAGGCATTGGTGACCTGTAGCACTGCCTCCTGTAGTCCTTGGTTACAAGTGGCAGAGGGCTGAAGTGAGGCTTGTAACACACACTAGGGGGTTCTGTGACAAACCTGAAGCCATGGTTTGGTCACTGAGACCCTTTAATGACCAGTGGGCTGGTCTTAACCAGGCGTAGTTAGCCAAATTGGGCCAAAAAGGGCCACATATGGCTTTTGACCAGCCAGTTACAGTTGTTGTGACAATAGGGGGTATCAAATATAACCAAATCCACCATTATTTAATTGACTGGTTTGAAAAAATCCACCCTATTTTGAATGTGTTGGTTATTAATTTGACCCCTTTTGGGGCCCATTAATGCAAAAAAAAGTTTTGGGAAAAGTGACTGGTTTTGAATGGTGGATTTCCTATATTTGATACCCCCTATTATGTAGTTAAGGTTTCAATGATGTCAACCTTATTTTTGGATTTTTCCCGAACTGCATGAACCTTAATTACATGTGTAGACCTGTCACAACATGTAGTATGATGTAACTGGGAGGGTTTCTAGCAAAATGAACAAGTGTCACTCAGAGTACACAGAAGTACATGAAGGAGTAATAATTAAGGGGTACCTTTGGTGGGGTACCCTAGGTTATTTTGCATGAAATTTAAGAATCTGAAATAATATTCTAACTTTTTCTTAAGGTTTAGAAGTTATTTGTAGATTCATGTTTAAAAATGTTTATTTATAAAGGTTTTTGGTTTATTTTTATGTTTTATTTCATGAATAGTAAAACTTAATGTAATGAGTAATAATGTCTCTATTATAGTGATTCCACTTATTTAAATATTAATGTTTTTATATGTACATATGTAATAATTTCTCTATATTATGTACATATAAAATAGACATTAATTACATATGCTATGGGTGTCAGCCTCTGGGTAACTAACCTGAGTATTTAATAGTAAAAAGGTTGTTACTATGAGTTGACTGAAGTTTTTGAGCGTGGTGAGTGTTAGGTAGTGGGTGATTAATACCAGTCCTGTAAAGAGGAGGTTTCACTCTATCAGTATGGTCTGTACTGAGAGGCTTGCTATCAACAGCGCATCCGGATCAATACAAGGTATTAATAGGCATCCAGGGTACTAAGACTCACCTGGGATTGATTTGGTTATTCCCAAAAGGGAATGGGCTAACAATACTTATTAAGCTTTAACAAAATTAGTTGAAGATTAACAGGTATTGTTGATGGGAATATTCAGCAAGGCTATGAATACTGTGGATAAGTTGAGTAAGAGTACTGAAGCTTAAGAACAATAAAAGTAGACAAGATTTATTTTGGTTACGGGTACTGTATCAATATAAATGTTAACTGGTTTAACTGGTGTCTGAATATTCTGGGGAT